AGGGGGAGGGGCACCCAACCCCAGTGGCCGCCGGTGGCCACCCCAGCCTGGGAGACGCCCCCCTCCAAGGGCGCCCCCAGCTCAGCCGGTCTGCGGAGCGGGAAACGGAGGCCCAGGCACCCCGCTGCCCCAGTCACCGCCAGCCTGCCCCCGCGTGGCTCCCCCGTGCCCCGGCTTTACATCTATCACCCGTGGGCACCACGTGCGCCTGTGCCGGGCGCTAACAGATGCCCCGCGCGCCCCAAACGCCCTCGTGCCTTTGGGCACATTTCCGGGGCGCAGCCCCCCGGGGGCAGGCCCTGCTGATCCCTCGCTGCACAGATGAGGAAACCGAGGCCCAGAGGCGGCGGCGGGCGGCTGAGCCTGCGCCCCCTACCTATAGCCAAGCATGGCCCGCACCTGCTCCCTGTCCGCTCTTCACCCTCTGCACCCCATGGGGTGACCCTCACCTCCACTTACAGCTGAGGAAACTGAGGCCATGACGACTGACCTGGGGGTTGCTGGCTGTTGGGATGATTTCAGATCCCCCTCTAACCGCCCATGGACAAGTGCTCACAGTGCCAGGCGAGACAGCGAGACCCCGCCAGGGAGACCCCCCTCTGCCGCTGTCCTCTGGAGCGGAGTCTCATGGGGACCGAAGAGGAACAGGGGAAGCATTGCCTCACGAACAATAACTACCACGAGGGGTCCTGACCGCTACCCACGGTTGGACACGTGCCTGTGGTCACACAGCGAGCCCGGGGCTGTTGGGCTTCAGGGCCTATTCCTGCAACGGCTGTGCTTTGGTGGAAGTGAGGGCTCCTACCTGGGGGTGACCTGAGGGGTGCGAAACAGCTGGCCATGTGCCCAGCGGCTCGTGCAAAGGCCCTGAGGCAGGACCTGGCTGGGAAGTTCAGGGAGCAGAAAGGGACTGAGCAGCGGGAAGAGGGAGGGAGATCTGAGAAGCAGGTGTCAGTCTGTATCCTGTCCAAACCCGTCTCATCCCTCAGAGCTGGCTGGTGCTGGAGGGCAGCCCAGTGGCTGTCAGCTAACGAGTGACAGATGCATCACCCTTCATGTGCACCCAGCATCTCACTGGATGCCCAGACTGCCATTAATGAAGAGACAGAAGTCACGGGCGCCTGAGCACCTTTGGCAGTCCCTGAGGACAGTGCCGTGTTGGAGAACACTGCAGAACCCCGGGTCCTCTCAGCCATCCCTGTCCGCCTCCCCCTCAAACGTGAGGCTCCCCTGACTTCCCGCTGTGAGCCGTTCAGGGGCATCACCCAGTTAGCGTCCTATGGCTCTGTCCTCTTGGCCCCACTGAACAGACGAGCAGACTGAGGCCAGCACTTGGTCAGGTCCCAGGCTGGTGAGCAGCAGCCTGGGACCCACACCATGAAAGGGGACCTGGCGCCCTCCGGGCTCAACCACAGGCGTCCAGCACGGTCCTGCCCAGGCCACACTGGCTCCCACACCAGAGTCCACAAAGACTTCTCAGTTCCTCAGCCCTGGCAGCCAGCCCACAGCCTGAACTCACTTGTTGACGGTGCCTGGGGGTGGGAGGGGCTTGGGGAGCAGGCTGGGGGTCTTAGGACTTGCTGCCCATTTATATTCGAGTTCACAGCAGAGGGTTGCTCTTCTCTCTCCCCGTCTCTCCTCTCCATTAACCCTTCCCAGCTCCCTGGCTCTTGGCTGAGGGCATGTGGCCAGTTTCTCCATTGCGGCTGTGAGGGATACGCCTGGTCTCCTGCCAGGCCTATGACTCCATCCTGAGCCCACATAGGGTCCACAGTTCCCTTGGGCACTGGGTCCAGAAACCACAGGCTGAGGCCAGAGTGATGAGGGTGACAGTCACCCCTGCCACCCCCCTCACCCCATGCCGGCCCCAGGAGGGGGACAGGGTGCTCCCAGTGCTCCCAGCAAGGTCCTGGCTCCCACCCACCATCATCACCCCTGCCCTGCTCAGCCCCTGGGAGCTCCCGGGTCACTGAGGGTGCTACTTGTCCCAGCCATCCTCATGCACAATCTCAGCCACAGACCCCTGTCACCCTCTGGGTGTCAGACAGCCAAAGTCCTACCAAACATAGACTGTTGCTGGGAGTAGAACACGTTTCGAGGGCACATTGGGGAAATCTGCCTGCAGGCCCCATGTCGCATCAGGCCTGTCCCCCGGGCCCCGGTCCTCACATACCACCTGGCAGGTCCACGCCAGCCCCCTGCTGAAGGCTGTGACATCGTGCAGTGAACCTCGATGGGGCAGTCGGATACATCATCAGGGACCGTCCACGAGGACAGACTGTGAGGCGGAGACCGCAGGCACACAACAGTGGCAGCACACTGCCATCCACAATTACAGGGCCCGAGGCCCCGACGCCCAGACACTTCTGTTTTTTTGTTTTTGTGCCCCGATGGGGAATTGAACCGGGGACCTTTCAGTGTCCAGGATGACCCTCAACCAACTGAGCCACCCCAGCAGGGCCCAGACACTTCTGGAAGGATCCCAGGGAAAGGGGAGACAGACAGACAGACACACACACACACACACATGACCTGAGTATTTTGCTCCTGGTATTACCTGCTCAGAAAGAACGAAAGACTCGGCACAGCGGGGGCCCTTTTGTCTCACTCCACCAGCCTGACAGCCACCACGGGCCGGGCACAGCGGCCTCAATCGGGCTTTGTTCCCAACTAAAGCCGGGTGGCCGGCCACTGCTCACGACCCTGAGCCGCTCTGTCTGGATGACGCTGGGTCACATCACAAAGGGGCCCTTCTCCTGAGAATCCAGTCAGCGGGCCCTGGGTGGTCTACAGAGGGGGTGGGAAGGAGCCCCTGCTCCCCACAAATCCCGGGTGTCTCGCACCCTCTTGCACCTCTGGGGCTCAGGCTCTGAGGTGTCACTGCCCCCCAACCGCCACCAGAGGCCGCCCTCTGCCCACAAACCAGCTGGCGGGAGGGTCCTGGCCTCCTAGGGGTCGAGGCTCTCCCAGGGAGGGCAGCGTCCTCTGCTGTCCCCACTGGGCCCAGCGCCAGCGCCCTGTTGCTCTGGGCTCCAGGCCGGGAAGCCACGTGCGCTGTCCAGCACATCCCACAGGGTTCGGGCTGGATGACCCCTGGGTGCTGCTGGGGAACCCATGGGAGCAAGGGGAGGAGGAGACTCCCAGGCCAAAGCCGGGAGGAATGCGCCCGACCCCTCTCTCTGGGCGGCAGGGAGGAACTTGGGAACTGCCCTGGGTCTGATGAACGAACTCGGCTGGACGGGGGGAGCTCCATCCCGACTGGGACCCCCATTAGCCTTCCAGGCCTGGGTTCTATTCTCACTCAGCCCAGACCTGGAAACACCATGTCCCCAGACCAGGCGCCCCAGGAGGGGATCCGGGAACCCCCAGCCCTGAAGAGCCGGGAGGAGGTGGGTGAAGGTGCACAATCGCAGGGGCAGCTTGGCTGGGAGGAAGCCAGCTGTGGGGTCCCTCAAACGTCTGGATGCGGGGGCCCTGGCTGCACCCTCCCCGATGGCTTCGAGGGCTGGGTCGGCCAGGTGGTGCTGGCCAGAGCCTGTTTCTCACCCAGAACCTGTGGCCAAGTCCCGCCAGGCATGGAGCTGCAGATGCCACCAAATGCCCTCGGCTGCCTGGAACCCACCTGGAGCTCCCTAAGGCCAACGGCGCTGGGACATGGGCCGCCAGCACCCCTTTAGGAGACTGGCGGTGGATGTGGGGGGCGGGAGCGCCCAGTGCCCGGGCCCAGGCCCCTCCGTCTGAGCGCAGCCAGGGCAGCTGCAGGGGCGGAAACCTCAGAAGGAATCTGGTTAATGCACCGGCGCCCAGGCCTGGTCTCCGGGGTACGGGGTGACAGACCCGTATAGTCTGATCTAAATCTCCCAGGTCCACAGGAGGCTCCAAGCCTGGCGGGCTGCACGGCGGAGGGGCTGTGGGAAGAGGCCGCCGCCGCCGCCTCCAGTGC